ATCCACTACATGACAGCTTATAAACCACTCTTGACTTGAGGTCATTAGAAAATGCTGACTTCAGTGATGGTAAACATGATTGTAGTTTTCTTGTGGTGAAAACCACTTGAACGTTAGTTAATTTTTTTCGTAACCTGTTAGCAAAATAATGGCTCTGTTTACCTCTATATTGCACCATCAGCATTGGGGGCTTCCCATCCTTTGGTGACTGAACTGACAAACCCCTTTCACTATCCAGGGGCTTGCCCTTACCCTCGATAATCTTGCACAAGGCGTCTGAAGCCACCTTTGCTGACCAATTTTCAGGGTACTGATTTGTCAGCCATTGCGCCCTAATAGTTTCCATAGCCTTATCAAATTGCTCCCAGCTAGATGTACTCCTAAAAACCCTGTGTACAGTGCCTTGGATAACACTACGCTTATACTGAGTTGGTGCGCAGCTTCTATAGTTCAGAATAGTCCCTGTATCTGTTGGTTTTTGATACCAACTGCAAGTTACACGCCTACCCTGCGATACATTTATGTTCAAATCCAGGAACGGCAAATTTCCCTCCGAATTAGTTTTCTCTAGAGTGAACTGCAATTTTGGATGAAGAGAATTGGCGGCATCGAGAAGACAACTCGGCTCCCCTCTGACTGTTCTAACAATGTCATCCACATACCTGAAGAACAATTTCACCTGGGGAGTATCCTTCTCCTTGTTCTTAGCTCGGCAGCAGCTTTCACAGTAACAGACTATCTCGGTTATTGATGCGTATACGTCATCGGATATTTTTCCGCATTTTAGATGATACCAGTTTCGGCAACTCTCGCATTCAACCCCCTTTGATCTATATGTGACTTTCCTGCTGCAACATGGGCACAAGCCGTTTTTGTCATTAATTTGCTGTACCCCCGTTCCCACCGGTATTTGTTGTCGTAGAGCAAATTCGTACTCTTTCAGCCATAAGTTTGCCAGAATTACAGCGAGGGACGCGCCCATTGCTAAACCTTCAACTTGTACATACCATGAATCATTACACTTGAAATATACTTTGCTGACCGCCATATTCAAAAGCCTTTTCATGGTTGCTCTTTGAATTTCAGGAGGAGATATTATGGTTTCATCCGGATCTAGAGCAATGTTTTCTATTTTTTCTCTAGCCTCTTTCGTATTGGTTTCTATATTTGCTCCATCGATGTTGTCAAAAAACTTTGCAAGCTTGTTGTTAAGATTCTCATACGAGCTGCCGGGAAGTGATGGAACAGGTCGTAGGGGTGTCTCGTCCTTGTGTACTTAGCTAAACCGTACAAACGGGCGGGTTGCCTCCCTGTTGATCTCATCTTAGAATATAACTGATCACTTATCTCGTCGCTTTTGTTCATGGTTAGTAATTCTTTTGTTAAGTTCCTTCTCAATTTTTAGTATCACCTCATCAGTGGTTGCATCTTTTTTCACAAACTGAGCAGATTGCAACAAGGATTCCAGCTTTGATTCATATGTTTGTTTCCTCATTATGCAAAAACCAACCCCCTTATCAAAAGGCACAGCCAGCAACCCATTATCTTTGAGATATTTCCTCGTTTTTTCAACGGCTTTGTCTCTTGGGGTTTGCCGTACGTTTTTTGCATATGCCTTTGCCGCGGCTTCTATTTCACATAACGTTTCACCAGATGTTTTCTGATTTTTCAATTGTGAGAGGAAAATGTCGATATCCGCCAAAAAATAAGTTTTGTTAAATTTGTCTCTAATGGGATGCTTGGGGCCCATTGATAGCACTTCATATACCCATTCAGGCAGTTCAATATTATCAAGTACCTTAACTGATCGCTCATTTCTCCCCCCAAGAGGTTTATCTTGTCTCTCGGACAGTTTTTCTAACTTTTTTCTATGGTTTTCTGATGTTGTCTTTAAGCTTGCCTCAACTTGACGCCTCACGAAGCGGAAAATGGATGCCCACCACTGTTTGTCAATTTCTTTTTGCACCAGTGATCTTGCTTTCCTTAGCATCTCCTCGTACCTTTTCCTATCCTCATCTTCCCTAGAAGTTTCAGTCCTTAGTAGTTTCAATTGAAAATTATGCACAGCTTGGTCCGAAAAAACCCCGTTCTCGGGGAACCTAAGTTTCAAAAAGTCCGGTATTAGATCGTTTTTCAGACATTTTCTCAAAAACTTCAGTCTATGTACAGATACTTGAACTTTTTTAAAGAAGTTTAAATAGTCTAACACAATTTTCCAAGTTAGTTTTCTTTCTAAAATTTGTCTGAGCCAAACAACAGGCAAAAGTACTGTGATCATTGTTTTGCAGGCCACGAGTAATGAAACTCACAAGGCACAAAGCAAAACAAATCACACTCTTCTCACCCCTGTCTTTGAAGCGCAGACACTTGATCTGCCTTCAGCTTCTGCTCACGTCTTGCTTTCGCCTTCCTCCTTGTCTGTGATGGTCTCTGTTGTTTGCCCCTGATATTGCCAATCAGCTCTGACAGCCTTTCTTTGTGTGCCACCACCAATCGCAGAGATTTCAGCTCCAAATCAGCACTCTGGTGCAGCTTCAAATATTCCTTGAGCTGCTCCGGGTACTTTTGCTTGCTCTTGGAGAGTAGCCGTTTTGTAGCTGAAATAATGAGCACCCCTGTGCCGAGAGGCTGACTAAACAAGTCGGGCGTTCCTTCCCTTCTGCAATAAACGATCGCCAATATCTGCTGCTTCTTCGACTTCAAATAGTTTGTCAGCTCCTCGACACCGGCGGGCGATAGTTGTTTGTTCTGTGGCTGCTAATGGTGTTGTTCACCACGTCGTGCCACACAACCACTTTTTTCTCCTTCCGTGGACTGTCTTTCAGTAGTCGTCGGAGGTTCTTTCCTGTGTTAAGGGTGTTGATGCTGTGGAACAGGGAGCTAGCTGCTACAATATGAAACATTTCGGTAACTCAAATAAAAATTGGCCATATTTTACGTATCGATAAAAAAAAACACTTTAAAAATTCTCTATACATTGACGAAAATCATTTAAAAATTTTATGCTGGCCCTTTAATGGGAAAACAGTTGGAATTTCAAGCTCTTCGCTTTTTGGTTTATCACGAATTTACAAGTAAAATTGAAGAAATTTTTGCTAAAAAGTAAATTTCAAACGTTTTCGCAACTATGTGCATCGTTAGGATTTTTACAATAAACTACTCTAAATGACGATAAAACATCAATTTACCAATGGTATTTACAATAAATCACATACAATTTGGTTCTAAACCATCTTGATAAAAAAACTAGCCAATCACAGTTGACCTCTAAATTACTATTAAGATTAAAATACTTTTAACCTCGAAAATTAATTAAACATTTTTATATTAATTTGTCTGGAAGTTTCTGAGTCATAATTTTGATTTAGACATGTACGTTTTGAATAAAAAACCAAAAATATTTTGGGACTAAATTTTCAGTGTACACAATAAATAAAACCTCTTTGTTTCATGGACAGTCCCCGTTTCCCGAGTAAAACGCCACCATGGTTATGAAACGCAAACCATGCCTTCTTGATACGCTCGTTTATAGCAATTTCAGTCTCCAGTAGCATGCAACGTGTTTCCCAAGTAACAAAGCTGACTAACACTCTCTAACTCGTCGAAACTGTTATGGGGTGCAGGATCACTTGCAGCTGGGGTGTGGCATGTAGAACACTGAAAACTCGACTCGTGTGGGGATAAACTTCCTCTAATAGCGGTACAGCGTCCGTGAACCCATTTTCTGCAAAGAGTGCACATAATCGAGTTTCCGCCAACTCTAATTCCACAAACGCCGCAAGGATCGACAGCAGCATTACGGATGACACTAGGGAAGTCTCCCATTCCCTTGGTTTTGCCCACATTAACCCGATGGCCTTTGGACTCCAATGCTGACTTCCACATTCTGTACTTCCTCATGACTTCTTCGGGTGTCTCTGCTGCGAGTGCTATGTCATCCGCATACAACATTTCCAGTATGGAGCCATCTCGCACTTCTTCAGTCAGATAATCCATAACCGTGATAAACAGGAGGGGGCTGAGGATTGAACCTTGATGCACACCAACAGTAACATCAAAAGCATCTGTCGGTTCACCGTTCACAAAAACTGAGGTCTTACAATCGTCATATATTGCCATAATAGCGTTTAAGAAATGCTCTGGTATGCGTTTATGCCTCAAACTTTCTATAATGAGGCGCAGCGGGACACGGTCAAAGGCTTTCTCCAGGTCGATAAAAATCCAGTAAAGGGGCTCCTTTTTTGCTGCAAACTTTTCGCAAAGTTGACGGGCAACAAAAACTGCATCGACAGTGCCGCGACCTGGCATAAAGCCATACTGTGTTCTGTCAATTGTAATCATATCACGGAGTCTTGACTCAAAAACCTTCTCCAAGAGTTTAAAAGAATGTTCCAGTAACTTTATACCACGATATGAGTTGGTACTGAGAGGGTCACCTTTACCTTTGTACAGTGGAATCAGAGAGCTCAGTTTCCAGTCATCGGGCATCTTACCACTGAATAAGATCTGGTTGCAAATAGTTGTCAGTACATCAATGCAAGGGTCACCGGCAGCTTTGAGCAATTCCGCAGTGATACCACTGGGCCCTGGAGCCTTCTTGTTCACCAACGCTCGCAAGGCACTCTTAACCTCTGCCACTGCAATTTCCTCGCAAGATCCTTCTACAGCCGGTTTGTCACTACTAGTGTAAGGATGTTCAACATTCATGATTTCATGCATATGGTCTTTCCATATTTTCTAACGAGCAGCAATGTTGGTATACAGTTTCCCTTCTGCATCCTTCAAGCAATTCGTGCCGACAACGTCTTGTCTTTGCTTTGATATGTTGAAGATCTTCTTATAGTCAGCTTCTGCAATAGCTTGCTTTACTTGGCTGTTGATAGCATGACGAATCGTATGCTTCGCAGCACGTTTAGCATTCGCATACGCTGTCCGATTTGCATCGTTTCTGTTTCTGCGCCACTGTTTGAACAGTGGTTTCTTCAATTTCACAGCTTCTTCTACTTCTTGGTTTCACGTGAGGCTGCATGTCCTCGAGAAGCACCGCAAATATTTTGTGCTGCCTCAAACAAGTTGTTCTTCAGCCCCTCCCATGTAGTAGCCTCAGGTGTCGCAGCAAACTCAGTAGTGAAAAGTTTCTTTGTCTCTGGATCACGTAGTTTCCAAGTCTTTATCCTTGGTTGTCGGTTGACTTTTCTTTGTTTGTGGACTTTCTTCATGGTAAAGTCAGCTACAACAACTTTATGCTGAGTGCCAACTGGAATACTCTTTGCATTCTTTAAAGAGATTGAGTCTTTTCTGTAAAGAATATAATCTATCAGGGTTGCAATACGGCCCGACATAAATGTCACCAACTGAGTGTGTGGTTTCTTGAACGCAGTGTTGGCAATAAACAGTCGTGCAGACATGGCACAGTCTAGTAGTCGGACGCCGTCATTGTTCTGGCATCCATAACCAAAACCACCATGTACACTTTCGCAACTTGAGTTGTCCTCGCCAATGTGTCCATTGAAACCACCACCAACCAGCGGGTTATCGGTCGTCAGCAACTCACGGTCAAGGACATCGTAGAGTTGATCTTTCATATCTTCTGCTAATTGGCTCTGTGGGCAATACGCAGATATCAATTTGTAGGGACGATCTTCCAAAATAACCGTAACGGAGATGATGCGGTCGTTGACACGGTTGACCTCCACCACACGGTCCACTAAGTGTTCAGCGACACCATTCCAACTCCATTTTCTGCTTTCTTTCCGCCAGACCAGAAGAACTTCCAATCATTCTTGTTCCTGCTCCCTTCCAACGAGTTTCTTGAAGCCAGGCAGCGTCAACTTTCCGCTCACAAAGTTCTCTTGCTACCTCACCCCTCCTTCCAGTCATGGAACCAATGTTCCACGTAGCAACCCGAAACTTGTTTCCTGGCGTGTCAGGCTCTGCAGCCGTCATTTGTTTCAGGGAGTTTCGGGGTGTCAGTGCATTCTTTCTGACGTAGGCCGGCACCGACAACGCCTGCGCAGCACTTCGAGGTGTACTGCCCCCTATATTTGGAGTATTCATGATTCAGTGGCGGAGTTTCACGGCTCGATGCCCTTCCTATCGCCAACTCTTCTCCTTTACCCGGGCTTGTTATTAAATTATTAAATAGATAATTGTATTATTAATAATAGACTATTAATACATAGACTATTATTATTAAACATCAAGTATGAATAAGGATTTCCTGGCGCAGACTCCCTACAAGAAAAAAATCTGCAACAACTTCTTAAAGGGAAATTGTCCTGCTGGATCGGATTGCACCTTTGCGCATGGACGCCGAGAACTGAGGTCTTTTGAGAATCAGATTTACAAGTCGCAACTATGCACTGCTTTTGAACAAGGAGGAATTTGTCAAATGGGAAATGACTGTCTGCTGGCTCATGGTGAAAATGAAGTTCGAACTGATGACATCATGCCTTCAATTGCAGAACACCATGATACCCTGAAGGAACCCATGTCGAGTAGGTTGGTTGGAAACACGTCTTCAAAGAATGTGCCTGAGATCGAGATTCAATAGAGAAAGAGGGACCAAAAACAAAAAACAACTAGAGCATGACTCGCACCTACGGTAGTTCAAATAGATCGTTGGTTTAAAGAGTTTACTGAAACATGTACTAAAATACTTATTGCAACTGTGAAGATGAATTGGGCTCATGTATCAGGAGTTTCTGCATCATAATAAACGCCATATCTCGAAACCCAAAATAACGAGCTGTCCAAGAGAACGCTAGATTTGCAAGCCCCGAGTGTACCCTGATGGCACCCCACTATACGGTTGAGAAGTTAAAGTTCGTTTAATTTTTTTTTTTAATTTCTATTTTTAAAAAAATCATGAAACAACGCCATATCTCGAATACCAAAAAGACTTGAGGACTCATACTTGCACGTCAGTTTTGCAACCCCTGAAGTTATACTCTGCCTGTGGGTCTAGGACAACCGGCCGACGGGATTTCAAGGCGAAAGGAATTCAGGCCAAAATTTGAACTTTACTAGCACCAAAAACCACTACTTTCTCATTTGTAAAACGTTGCTTTTCAAATAACATCAGCCTGTTTTTGAAATGGATAAATTATAAACATGAAAAACACCCTCAACCATGTTTTATTTTTCAAATTTCCTAAACATCAGTTCAAGCCTTAAATTTTACGAAAACGCCAATATTTGGTGAAGAAGGATAATGAAATTCAGAATAATTTTTCAAAAATTTCGAGTTCATCATATTTCACAATTTTATAAGAAAAAATTCGCTTGAAGTCCCTAGTTTCACGATTCGACTTGAAGTCCCGTCGGCTGGATGTCATCATATCAACAGATTTGCGGGCCGTGCCCCAACTTTCTTGTTCCAGCAGCCTCTGCTTGCAGCAAGGCAAGAGATCTCGGTTTACTTTTTGCTGCCGGTTCGGGCAGGAACCGTTGTGCAAGCACAGGCTTACATTCCGCTCCAGGTCAGCTCGTAAGACCTCTTCTCCACGTTTCCAATCGAACAAGGTATTCCAGTCACCCGTTTCACAGCTGTTGTGACGGCGTTTCTATGTGTCAGGATTGCTCTCTTATATGCACCTGGTCCTCAGTTCAGCTGGAACGATTGTTAGGTCTCCAGGTTCCTGGACATATGACGCTTGGCGCGTTCATACATCCACGACATCATGACGGCACGGAACCAAGGCATTAACAACTGCCTCGCCTATACCTATCGAAGACTTTGGGTATCCTGAAGAAATTTGTAGGGAAAAGAAAGTTTCCTTGTTAGTAAATTGTAAAGATCATAACTTGAACTAGTTTAGCAGAAGTCATTGCTAATTTATGATGTCTGAGAACTGTCAAAGCATTACATAACTTTGACAAATATGCAAACGCCTTGAGAGGCGGGAGAAAACTTAAATTTTTTGGTGTCAGATAAAGCTGACAAAAGGTGCCAAAATCCGTAATCTGGATAAAATCAATTACTACTCGGATTAAGGATAGAAACGGGGTAACCCGGGAACATCAAAAAAACTTTTACATTCAGAGCAATCAGTTGGTTTATAAATCCTTCCTTGATAAACCCATCAATAACAAACTCTTGTAATTATCACATAAGTCTCCGGGACCAACTTTGAATATAAATATTAACTTAATTAAATATATTTCGAGCTTTCAATTTAGCTTATACCCAATACTTGTTTCCTTGCGAGAAAGCACGTGTTGGGTTGATCATACAGTCGCAACAGAGAAAACATCAAGAGTCAGGAAGAACAAGTGAGTTTCGAAAAAAACGAAGTGATCGAAAGTTGTCGACTAGGTCGGGAAAACAATAAAAATCAAATAAAACGTTAAAACACGTTCCTAGAGAAAACCAGGAAAACTCGACAATGATTCAATCGATCTTGAATTTTTCTCTTCTAGTTTGTGTCCAAAATTATCAATTAATCTTGCAAAGAAAGAAATAATTGAACCGATTTCAACGGAAAGGTATAGGAAACCAAGTTGAAAAAAAAAAGTTTCTCAGATAAAAGCGAATAAACTGTAGTTGGATGGTCATAAAACGTTATTTTAAGCAAAAAACAGCGGGAAAGATCTACTAAATTGCCAACTAAAGGGATTAATTGAGAAACAATTAAGTAGGGTAGGGGTTAGGTTTGGCAACGGCAAGTTTGGTATCCAAAATATTATTGCCGGAGGCATTCACCGGTTCTAACGAACTTGAAAGCTACTGAACACACTTTGAGCTGTTAGCCGAACTGCAAAACTGGAAACGTACTGTAAGTGGAACCGAAACTGATGAACGGCCGCATCATTTCGCGTTACGATTGCAGAAATCTGCAATCGAATTTTACCGTTCCCTCCCAGAGACAACCAGAAATAGACATGATGAGACCGTTAAAATTTCAAAGACATGATGAAACCGTTTAAAAATTTCCGGTGTTGTTCCGCAGACGGATAGCAGGTCGCGTGCAGCAGGCAGGATAAAAAGTAACAGATTTTCTGGGGGATTTACAGCAGTTGGCGCTGGAGGCTTACCCAGACGAGTCTCAGGACATACGGGCTCACTTAGTGCTTCGAGGTTTTCTCGATGGGATCCACTAGAGTCAACTTAGACTTGAGCTCCGCAATCAATTGGCGACAGGGACATGAACATCGGGAAGGCTTTAGAGCGGGCACTGCATCTGTAAGCCATAATTAGAATAGAGGAAGAAGAACAAACGCCATGAATAGCAGCCACGAGGAGGAGTGATGAGCAGAAGTCCTAATTGACTCGGTAGACAGACTAGTCCAACAGATGTCGGTTGGTAATGAAATTAATCCCCGGAACATTAACGGTCAAAGAGACAACAGCCACTGGGGAGGAACGCGACGCCATGGAAACCGATATAGGGGACAAGGTTCAAGAGACCGAGCAAGAAATCCCACCTAGCATCAAATAAGCGCAAAAGAAAAAACAATCTGAAAAGAGAAAACAACTAAGACAAATGTCGGCTATGTAGGCAAAAGGGCCACTGGGCAAAGCACTGCCGTAAATGTTTTACTTGTGGAAGTTGTAGCCAAATTCAACGAAATTGCCCTTGGAACAAAAGGACGGAGCAAACCAAGTAATCAGGGTGTGTTCAACTAACAAAACAAAACGTTTCAATGTGGAGTTGTTACTGAACGGGAAAGTGATAACAAGACTGTTAGACAGTGGCAGTAGCATTTCTCTCATAAGTTCCGACACTTATGAACGCCTTGGAAAACCGGGAAGCATAAAAGTTTTTAATATAAAGTTTTAGCGGCTAACTCGTCGGCGTTGAAAGTAGTTTGCCGCGTCGACAACAAAATACAAATCAAACCAAAATTCGGAGAGTTCGCCCAAGAAATTTTAATAACGTTGCATAACTGCTTACCCTGCCTTCTTGGTTTGGACTTCATGATAGATCAAGATTGTATCCTGAACACTGGCAAACAATTGCTATACAGTACGGAAAATTGGACAGCTCTACCTATATCAGCACAAGCAAGGAACGGTGTCCGAACCTTTGCAAAAGCAGAGAGGGATCCAAGAATCTCCAGCACACAAGAATAAGTTGTAGAAATCGTCATCATAAATGACAACGTTACCGTCATCAGTAGCACAGAAGGTTTAATGGAATGCATACATCAATTCGAAAAAAAAACGGAATACTGGTTACTGATTCATTGGTTAGCAAAAAACCAAATAAAAAGTTGCCTGAAGATACTGAACACGCGAAATGAAGCAATTAACATATACCATGACAGCAAATTTGCTCATTATACCAATTTGAGACATCAGATTCAAGTAAACGGACTCTTCAATAGCAAGGAAGAGCCTTTTGAATTGGAAAAATACACATCTCTGGACGGTGCAAAATTGTCATCTGAAGAAAAGGAAAAAGTGCAGATAATGTTTGATAAACATAACCGAGTCTTTTTACGCAGCTCTACGGACTTCGGGTTTTTGGATGAAATCAGACATTAAATAAAGTTAAACGCTGATGCAAAGCCATTTCGGTGGGCATACGGAAGTATGAATTTTGAAAAGCGGAAAGCCATGAAAAAGATCGTAGTGGATTTAGAAAAAGGCAACCTATTTGAACCAGCTCGCTCGAAATGGGCAGCCCCATCCATACTTGTTCAAAAAAATACGGATCCCACAGATTAGTAGTTGATTACAGAAGATTCAACATTCAATGGAAACTGGCCCCTACCAAGCATAAGTGATGTCGTCGACTCATTGGATGGTAAAATAATCTTTTTCGACATTAATTCAACTTCTGGCTGTTTTCATATGCCGCTAGATGAAGACTCGCAAAATCAAACGGCTTTTATAACGCCGATGAATCTCTATAAAATAGAAAAGACTACCAATGTGTCTCGCTTCAGCGTCAGAAGCTTTTCAAAACTTAATGGAGTTAATACTAAAAGGGTTATCATACGAAATCGCCTAGACGATATTATAATTGAAGAACAATTGACGAAAATATAGAGAAGTTGAAAATTATTCTGTGTCGACTGAAAGAAGCAGGGTTAAGAATAAAAGGATCGAAAAGCAGATTCTTTCAAAAGAAAATCCATTTTCTAAGACACGCTTTGTCGAACAACGGCGTAGAAGTTGATCCGCAAAAATTAAACGCGGCGGAACACTTGAAAAGTCCTCACAATATCAATTAACTGCGGACGGTATTAGAACTCAATGGGCTCGACCAAAAGTTTATTGAAGGGTTTGGAAAACAGCGCAACCACTTTACAAACTGTTTGAAAAGAATGGAAAATCTTTCGTAATGAAGCTTGCAAAAGTGCATTGATGGAACTGAAACAGAAACTGATTCAAGCACCAATACTGGGATATCCAAATGACGAAGATATGTGTTCCCTAACAACGGATGCTTCATAAACTGGGATGGGGGCCAATTGACACAAAAACAGCAAGACATAGATCGAGTTATTGCGTGCGCCAGCAAAACGCTGATTAAAGGACAACGAAATTACTCCGTAACCAAAAGGGAACTACGCAATCGTACATTTCACGCATTATTTCCGGAA